CCCAACCCAGCGGTCACAGAAGCCTCGAAAAGCCTAGGCAACACAAAATATGGATGCTGAGGGAGACAATCCATTACTGAACGTCTTGTGTGTTAATTGAAAAAGCTCATTAGTCTGTTTTACAAATCGCCCAGAAGCAATAGATTTGCTAATTGCTATGACATACATCAGAAAAGAAACCGGAAATACGAGTGTTCGGTCTGACCGTTAAATAGAATGCCTAGTGGACACTTTGTCAATCTATGATAATCACGATGAAGTGCACTAAGAGAAATACGATTCGGCTTGAATTCCGCATAAACGGTGACAGTGGATGAAGAGAGATCGACTCACCAATGTAAACGTAATGTGTGAAGGAAAGCTGAGAGACCTTCCATGAGTAGCAGAATACTAAGCGTCAAAACGGCCCAGAAAGCAAAAATGGCGAACAAGATAACGCCTCCGTATAACCCGTTGACACTCAAGCCCATGTGCATGACCATAGTCCACAGGACTTCTGACAACTCTGTGAACGTTGACGAAGAAGGAAAGAAAAATGCACACATTAAAAATTGCAGTATAAACTTTTCTTAAATACAATCACAATGGTCAACACCATAGAACTGCAGCGCAATCTCAACAGTTATTCAAAGTGAACTGACGAGTCTGCGATGGAGCAATTACGTTTCTTGCTATCTGTATAGCATATGGGATACGTAGGTATTCATTACTGAGCAATGGGAAATGAGCCCGAACAGAACTAATTAAAGTTATTAACATTTAATTGACAAGATCGAGAGATCATCGCAATGATTCCGACATAGATTGCTCAGGGTAAGCTTATTCACAGCTTTTATAATAAGTAGTATCTGAACAACTGAACCAAATTTCCCTGGAAGCACACGATCGATTTCATGTTTCTTGTCGTTCGTCAGGCATGCGGACCCGCTACTCTTTTGTGAGGTCATTTCATTACTCAACGTCGCGGTTCGGTAATTACCAACCGTGCTTCTCTCATTCCCTTAAACACTCTAATCACAAAGTTGTATGATTTTCATACTACTTCATACGAGAATTTCGCCCATAAGATACTCCACAACCCCAGTGATCTGCTCAATCCCAATCTATCTGCCTGTCGTTCGTACGCTACAAGCCGATCCAATTATCGCTGCTCACCCTCCCCCATAAACATTCATCGCAATTCAACGGTGCCCCATCTGGATCGTATTCTAACTGACAAGATGAATATCCGAAAAGAACTAATCTTAACCTATAATGATGATCTTCTGTTTAAGTTTTATCACTGTTGTATACGACTTTTTTCATTATTATTCCATTGTAACGGTGAAAGCATTGACTGACTGAAATGTAGGCAAAGCTTCCTGCACAAGTCATTACAATACAATATACTTATACCCAGGAAGTGTATTTTCGACACCGGGTGTTTGTTTGGACAGGAACTTCTGAATCCGTCTAGTTATGAATCACTAATATGAGTCGATACTGTACAGATGGATCAGATGTAACAAACGTAACTCGAGCGTTTCTCACAGGATATATATATATATATATATATATATATATATATATATATCACTATTACTTACAGGTACGGAGCCAAAGTAATCACGGGTTTAAAAAGAAATCCAGAAACAACAAAGGAGAAAATAAAAACAGTCCGAAGATTCATCGTAAGCACAACTGATGGTGCGTGTTTAGCGTTCTACAAACAAAGTGGGCTGCGGAATAAAACCCTTTTATATCCTCTTTATGCCACTAGCTTTTTCATTTACAACAAGGAATTTGATGATGGCCGCTTCGAATAGCTCTCATCATTGTTGCACAGCGAAAGGCATACAAGTAAGGAGAAAAAAGCTGGTTATCGAATCTGATTTGAGAAGGGGAAGAGGAAGCCAAGTGTTAATTACTGCTCGTAATTAGATGTCTCTTCCCCTGTGCCCATTAGACTACTCATGAGTAGCACACAGCTTTTACTTTCCCGACAGTTAGACTTTCGTGTTTTGTGCATCCCACGGTGTCTATATTTATGAAATTTATATATTCTGCTAGCGTATTTACTGGACCTTTAATGCTGTAATTTCTAAGTGATTATTCATGAGGTCACGTTTTCTCATTGGCATAAAACTTTTCCGATCATTTGTTTTGCGAGTAACAGCGTGCTGCCACCAGGGCTCGAACCGCAGACCACCTATGGCCGGCACACGCATTACCACCACACCACACACTTACCCAGCACCCGTTTACTGCCTTTGTCAATACTGCCCTCTGATGCACATTCCTTTGATCAACACCGCCGCTTTGTATCGCATTCCAACTTGCTAGTATTTACTACATTTCACTCCAAACCATTGTAATTTCTTTCTCTGTCGTTTTATTCCGGAATTAAAGTGTATTGTAAGTCCTTCCCATTCTGTACCGCAACCTCCCCCCATTTGAATTTCACTGCTGTGCTACCGTTACGCTTAGCTGTCTGCCGGGTAGACCTTTTTCCTACCATTGCTGCCACGAATTGTTACTGCTGCCCTGTAATTTGGTTGCTCACCTGGCTGTAAGTCACTTTGTATGGTTTATTATTACTGTATGACTTTAGAACCACGAATATTACCACTGTTGATAAACATTGCTACCATATTGGACTTCGTTCTGCTGCCC